TTGCATTAGACCAATCAGAGTCTCATCTCCCATTGCCTTTAATGCTACGTTTACACTAGACGCGAAAGAAGCGTCTAGCGCGAGTGATCAACATGATAAGTTAATGCAAAGGCGCAAATAGACATTCTGCGGCGCGATTTGACGTGAAACGTTCAATTGAAAAATCTGAACTTCAAGGGACATTCGCGCCGCATTAACCAATCTGGAGCATTATCTGATCGCTCTCTGACACTTTAAAGGTGCAGTATGTAAGTTTTACACCCAGCGGTTGAACTAGGTATTGCACTACTGGATCAAAACAAACGCAAGTGCAGGTTGCCAGATTGAAGACTGACATGGGAGATTCTCGAGCCTAAAGGCTGATTTAAACCGTGTTCTGAATAAAAGCAATGGCATACGATGGAAGGAATATTTCCATATTAAAAGAGTTTTTGTCCCAATCAACACCTCGAATTCATACATTACATGACAGTGTTCAGTGTTAAATGCATATAATATGAGTTTGAATGCCATTTTACACAACAATTATTGCCATACTCTTGAAAGCAGCAGCAGATAGTTCACCTCAGATCTTGAAACTTGAAGCTTTCATGTTGTTAATGCCAAATTCTGACTCTACCAATTCTAGAAATGAAGACTCATTAGACCAGACAATGTTTTTCCAATCTTCTTTTGTGCAATTTTAGTGAGCCTATCTGAATTGTTGCCTCAACTTGTTCTTATCTGACATGAGTGGCACTCGGTATGGTCTGCTGCTGTAGCCTATCAGCTTCAAGGTTGGCCGTGTTGTGCATTCAGAGATGATCTTCTGCATACCTCGGTTGTAACGAGTGGTTATTTGAGTTGCTTTTGCCTTTCTATCAGCTTGAACCAGTCTGGCCATTTTCCTCTGACCTCTGACATCAACATTTGCGCCCACAGAACTGCTGCTAACTGGATGTTTTCTCTTTTTTGCACCATTCTCTGTAAACTCTAGCGATCATGCGTGAAAAACCCAGTACATCAGCAGTTTCTGAAATACTCAGACCAACAACAACCTTGCCCTGTTCAAAGTCACTGAAATCACCCCATTCTTATGCACAGTTTGAACTGCAGCAGATCGTCTTGACTATGTCTACATGCAGAAATGCATTGAGTTGCTGCCATGGGATTGACTGATTAGAAATTTGCGTTAACAAGCAGTTGGACAGGTGTACCTAATAAAGTGTATATTGTTATTTAGATATTTTGCAAAATAACCCTCACTTGTAATGAGAATAACATGAAATAAGAAATTTGGTGTTTTTAATTAGAACGTTTTGGATTAATACATATAATGTTTAACATTTTGCAACAGTTTTTTTTTTTTAAATACAATTTTAAAGTCCCGTATAACTCAAATAATAAAAAATAAAAACATTTCTATTGTCTAGCATTGAGATTCATATGGATTTTAAATAGGACTGAGTCAACTAATTAAATTAAGTAATTAAGTTACTATTTAGACAAAGCAATAGAGTATATGCCGAAGCATGCTAAAGGACTTCTGTGTGACTTCCGGTGAACTGTATGCATTGCAAAATCAGCGTGTTTAAGGTCTGTTTGCTTTAGATTCAGCGATCTCCACTGGCTGGAGTGATATCCGATATAAAGTGGGTCTCATATTGTACAAGAAGAACTGCATTAAATTAAATTTTTCTCCGCCATGTCTTTATAATATGAGCATTTATTTTACCCCAGTATATTCAATGGAGCTTCTGCGCTAGCCTGCAGATTCTGACAGGCGCGTGTGAGTAAACAGTATTTTGTCTTGTTTCATGCTTGAGCAACTAAATGAATGCCAAAGTCTATTTAACTGATTATATTTTAATGGCATTACAACATCAATTGTGTAAATGGAACCATAGGAAATAGAAAAAGTCACAATAACCGGTCACCGGAAGTTTATCAGTATGGGAAGAAACACTAGCTCGGCATATAGCCTATTAGAAGAGTTATAATTAGAATGATGCAATTTGTAATCAGTTACTTTTTGAAGTAACTTAACCAACACTACTTGTGACCTAGTAAAGTGTAATATGCTAGGGTTACGGTTATTTTAATGGTGCAATTAGTAATTAATTACTTTTTTAAAGTAATTAATAAAGTGTAATATAGTTTGTGTTTGTGAGCATAGCCAGTCGTTCAAGCTGTCAAATGAGACATATAATTACTAACGCAATATATAAAGGCCTTTATTACTGTGACTTCTCTTCGATGGTATTGACTTTAAGCCACTCCTAATCGGGTTTTGTGATGCTTCAGCGCAATTTTTAATTAGCAGTGAACATTGACGTGCGACACATGACTGAAGGAGGAGATTAATATGAAGAGAAATGAACTGAGAGCTGAAGAGAGGAGCGGTCTGTTTCCTTGCTGATGGCACCCTGTCTGACTTGAGCGTACCAAAGGAAAGCTGGCGCGTGTCTTAAGCCAATGAACATGACAGCACCAAATGTGCAGCAGATTTTCTTTTTAATGGAAATGTTGTTTCTTAAAGATCAGCGTTACTGACAGTGACTTCAGAGACAGGAAAAGTCTAGACAGAGAAATTTTTAGATGGCAAGACACACTTCAACACAGGATTTGAAGAACCATGGTGTGTTTTGTTATTTTAGGTAAGATTTTCCATTAGGAATGGAATCAGGAAAGTCTATCTAAACCTTTGACTTTTTATTTTCAAATGTATATATTTATATGACCTCAATTCTCCATTTAAAGTACAAATGAAATAAAGCAATCAGCTTGCAGAAGAAAAAACAAGCCACAACCACTGTTTTCTCATTTAATATTCCGACTGCATCACAATACAAAAAAAAAATATATATATATTAGTGACAGGAATGACACGGAATGTGCAAAGCATTTGGTGTAAACATGCAGAATTCCCTTCAATCGTGTCTTTTTTTGCAAGTTCATGATGTTAAACTTGAGAGAAAAACATCCCATGAGTAATCCAGAGGAAGTGACACAGTTCTTTGTTTTTATTGTGAACCCAGCATTGTACTACAAAATCCATAGTATATTTGGCCATAACTTCGGCCATAATGAATGTTATATTTGCGACTCAGCTTAATTTTTTTTTTGTCGTTGTTTTTTATAGTTCTGCTGCTCTCAATTGTGACAACGTTTTGGAAATATATTTAATTTATATGAAGTCAGAATTATTAGCCCCCCATTGATTTTTTTTTCTTTTTTTTTTATATTTCCCAAATTATGTTTACTCGTGGAAGCACATTTTCACAGTATGTCTGATAATATTTTTTCTTATGGAGAAAGTCTTATTTGTTTTATTTCTGCTAGAATAAAAGCAGTTTAACGTTTTTAATAAACCATTTTAAGGTCAAAATTATTAGCCCCGTTAGGCTATTTTTTTCCCGATAGTCTACAGAAAAAAACATAATTATACAATAACTACCTAATTACCCTAACCTAGTTAACCTAGTAAACCTACTTAAGTCTTTAAATATGACTTTAAGCTGTATAGAAGTGTCTTAAATATCTAGTCAAATATTATTTACTGTCATCATGGCAAAGACAAAATTAATCAGTTATTGAGTTATTAATAATATTATGTTTATAAATGTGTTGAAAAAAATCTTCTTTGCGTTAAACTTCAACTGTAGTTGTTATTGGATGTTGGAGTAGCCTAATGTGGATTTTAAAATAACGCAGCCTATTTTATGTTTTATCAGTTTAGTTGGTAATTTGTATGAATTCGGAAAGCTAAGTCATACAACAATGTACAATTTCAAAAAGAGGACGTGTCACCCCACCCTCTGGGGATTAGTAAATTGTACTAAGTTGTATGAATGAGATCATACGAATTCATACGAATTAGCCACTAAATGAAAAAGTTATGAATTGCCGAATACCCCAAAGACGTAACATCTATTTAATGTATACACAAGTACACGTATTTATTTGTTACTTTAAAATGTTATAATTGAATAAAGAAATGTTACTACTTCTGAAAGAGATGTCTCTTTATTTCATTATAAAACATTACAATAACAAATAAATACGTTTACTTGTGTAAATGTAAAAAATAGACATTGTTATGTATATAATGTATTTCCAATTGGTGCTGCATAACTGTACTGGCTACAGACTTTTTTCAAATTCAGGCAAGACCACAGGTCAACAGAAAATGCACTGCATTAATAGCGCATTAATAAAATGAGCGCTGCTAAAATTGATATGCCTTAACGCATTATTAATGTGTTATTTTAAATAAATGAATAAATTAATAAACAAATAAATAAATAAATAAATAAACAAATAAACCCATAAAAACAAGTAAATGATTCAATATTTAAATAAATAAATAAACTAATAAATAAATTATTAAATGTTTAAAAAAAAACAACCAACCAACCAACCAACCAACCAAACAAACAAACAAACAAACAAACAAACAAACAAACAAACAAACAAACAAACAAACAAACAAACAAACAAATAAATAAATAAATAACTGTGGCGAAGCAGTGGTGCAGTAGGTAGTGCTGTCGCCTCACAACAAGAAGGTTGCTGGGTCGATCCTCGGCTCAGTTGGCGTTTATGTGGAGTTTGCATGTTTTCCTTGCATTCGCGTGGGTTTCCTCCAGGTGCTCCGGTTTCCCCCACAGTCCAAAGACATGCGGTACAGGTGAATTGGGTAGGCTAAATTGTCCGTAGTGCATGAGTGTGTGTGTGTGTGTGAATCTGTGCGTGTGGATGTTTCCCAGAGATAGGTTGCGGCTGGAAGGGCATCCGCTACGAAAAAACTTGTTGGAAAAGTTGGCGGTTCATTCCGCTGTGGCGACCCTGGATTAATAAAGGGACTAAGCCGACAAGAAAATGAATGAATGAAATAAAATAAATTCGGAAATAACTCAGGGTTTTAGTGATATATACATGACATAAAATTTGTGAAAAGGCAGAATGATAACATTAATGTCTCTCTCTCTCTCTCTCTCTCTCTCTCTGTTTCTTTTTAGCAGGAAGATGAGCCCAACGCCGGCACTGCTCACAACAAAGATCAAGCTGAAATTCGCAAGTTGCTTGCACAGAAGTACAAAAAGTTGCCATGGAAACCAGAGGTATGAGGATCAGTTTTATTTTTGTCATTTTACGTCGACAATGACTCATTATCAATCGCTTTTTTTTGCTCATTAGCTCTGGAAGTTCTTAATGAGAAGTTCTTAAACTTCCAGCCTGAAACACTTAATAAGCGCACATTGGCCTGAAACATTTTTCTGTAACATGCAATTTTCTGTAATAAACAAACTGCATTACTGTCAGATTTTGTAATATCCGCCAAAAGATTAAGCCCACGTCTTTGGGCCTCGAGTTAAACTACTTATTAGTATTCAAAGTCTGAGTTGAACCCATTTAGTTAAAAAAAAGTAGAACTGCACCGTTGCTCAGCCTACTTAGATAAAAAAAGTAGTGTATTTAGAAAATCATGTATCTGTTTGTTTTTAGCCCCAATATCCTGGACCAAACAGTTGTAAGATGGTGTATTAAATTGGATGGTTTATCCGACTCCATTAAAGTGACATTATTGTCATAATTATTCCTGTTAGATAAAGTAAAAAGGTTTCTGCTAAGCTGCTTATTTAAAAGCAGCACTGGATTTAACTGAGTGCTCAGAATGGTGGGCATTCCAATCCACGAGGCTACTAAACCAAACCACAACATGCAAAATAATGGGTCAGAGCCTCTGTATAAATCACCATGAACACATCTAAAAGGGGCGCAGGTGAAATGGATGGAGTGTTTTAAAATAATAGTGCAGAGGTGGGAAAAGTCTGTAGCAAATGGCAGTGGTTTGTTTTTATGGGGAGTAGGGATGTGATCCCGTCTGCCCCTTGAGGCCTGATTAAAATATGTGTCTCAGACTCACTAGCTATTTAACCATTCACAGTGTTCAACATATATAAGTAGACCTCCTTCAAATATCTCATTTAAATTTATATTTTAAAGCTTTACAATATTATATTTGTGCATATACAGTTAGGTCCATAAATACGAACAAGATTGTCAGCTTTAATTTGAGAGTATTTACATCCAAATCAGGTGAACGCTGTAGAAGTTACAACAGTTTGCACATGTGCCTCCCACTTGTTAAGGGTCCAAAAGTAATTGGACAAAATAATAATCATAAATAAAACTTTCCCTTTTTAAAACTTGGTTGCAAATCCTTTGCAGCCATTAACAACCTGAAGTCTGGAACACATAGATAACTGTTTTTAAGATTAGTCAGTACTTAAGCCAAATCTGGTGCTTATCTAACAAAATAACTTATGATAATGGTACAAAATGAGTACACTCACATTTATATGTTAGAGCAAAATATTGAATAAACAATGATGACATTTTATTGAAATTTTGTAAGAGTTTTTAATTTTTCCCCCCAATATTTTGCATGAATTTAAATCTCTCATCTATTTCTAAAGATGTTTGGTGACTAAAGTACCATATTTATAAATATATCCATTTAATAAATCAGATTTTTTCAACAGGGGTCCGGAGGGTCTTAAAAAGTCTTAAAAAGTGTGGCCAGATGTAGCTGACTGATTCCAGCTCGCCGAAATGCACACATAAACGCTCAGCAATCCAAAGACTGTCATAAGCATATGTAAAGTGTAGACTTGGGGGTCAGGTGGGGTAGGGTTAGGGTTGGAGGTGTGGGGGTTTATTAATTTGGTTCTGTATAGGCAGTCATAACCAGGTAATAAGTGAAGACCGTCACTCAGTTGTCTGGGACTTAGGTTTCAAAACCGGCCAAATTTCCCTACCCGCCTAATTTATTTTTTGTACCCACACAATCAAATTCAAATTCAGTCTTAAAATGTCCTAAATCTCAAAAACAGAATTTTGGGCCTTAAAATTTAAAAAATTTACTGAAATAGCGTGTTGTAGGTCTTTAATCTTTTTATACAGGTCTTAATGTTCCTTGGTTCATGTATAGCTACTTCCCAATCTGGCCAACACCCATTCAATCACCAACAGTTCATCTTAATAAAACTTTAATATTCTCCATGCATTTATTGCTGAGGACACTGACCAGGGGTGCGTTTCCCAAACACTGACGTAACTTGGGGCTGAACTATCATAATACGATGCATCGTTTGGGAAATGAACGATGTAGTGACGACAGTTTCCCAAAACGTGTAGTTTCTCTGACGAACTACGTTAGTTATAACGTAAAACGCCCATAATGATGCTCTAAACTGGGTGGAGTAACAACTTCTTTAGAGAAGAACCCCGTCATTTCTTTGTGCAAATTATATTGTTTTACACAAACATGCATTTAAAATAAAATCCAATATTAGTTTTGGTAAAAAAAAACATGCACTCGCTTTCCGTTTTAACTGAAATATATGTAAATGCCACACAGGGCCTATGTTTGCTTTACTAATATTATTGAGAAGTTGAACATTACTTATTCTATTCTAAAACATAAATCACTTACAAAAGCTAACACATATTCTAATATCATATTAATCATATAAACAAATAAATAATTTAGCTATTTATTATAAAATTTAATTTAATATTTATTATTTATTAGAAATGAAAAAATCATACTTTAATAATAATATTAATGATGATGATGATGATGATTATTATTATTATTATTATCATTAATATTATTATTATTATTATCAAGTAGGATATTGTTTATTTATTTATATTTTTTTAAGTCTACTTTTACAATTTGACAAATGTTAACCACTGCAAAAAGTTCTAATCAGCAGGCCCATGTCATATACAGTAAAGATATTTAATACAGATACAGATATTTGGGTTTTTTAACCCACTATAAATTAAAAGAATCAACCTATGCTTTATATAACTAAAATGGTGCATCCCTATAAAAAAACAGACAGCAAATAAATACAGGAACCAACACTTTCTAGACGAGTCCTGACTCCAGTCAGTGCTCAAAACCTTTTTGTCTCTTCAATTCAGCGGGATTTTGCTCTGGCCATTGTGAAGGTCAGTCGAATTCTTCCACCATACATCATTTCTGTATTCACCTCGCTTTGTGCACAGACATATTGTCATGCTAGAATTGCCACAATGGCTTGAATTCATCTACACTGAAGCAACTGAAGCAGTAAGTCATCTCTGAATGAAAACCACAGATACTGTACCACTCTTCAGCAACAGTGAAATAGCCAAGTAACTACTATAGGTATCTTTATTTACTGCACCCACAGATGTATAGAGCTCAACATACAGTGGGGGAAAATAAGTATTCAACACATCATGTTTATGCTGTCCGGCAAATGCTGAATGAAAGTGAAACTGATTTATTAAATTAAAAATGAAATACCAAAAATTAATTGATTTTTGTTTTTTTTGTTTTTTTTTTTAGTTCAATTTGTGGAAAGGAGTTTGATTTCTCAAAGGGAGAAGCCAGTCAGTAGAGTTCATACTGCAGCTAAATATAGTGTTTGCGTGTCCTTTATTGCATATAATTATAAATAAAAAATAAATATATTAAATACATAATTTATTTAAAAAAAAAACATTTTAAGGTAAAATTATTAGTCCATTTAATATATATTTTTTCTCGATAGTCTACAGAACAAAACCATCGTTACACTATAACTCCATCTGCCATCTCCAAGTGCCATCTAAAATTTCCATAGTAATTGAGTATTATTTTCTGCCTCCTTTGTTTATGTTGAACTATTTCACTTTTAAGTCAACGGAAAGGATTTATTCATCACTATAAAAGTGAAATTGCTAAAAATACACAAAGTGCCCTGATAAAAATGCTAAATTTAGTAGAAAATTACAGGCAGCATTTAAAGGTTTTTGCATCTGAACTCTTTATAATATTATATTATATTATATTATATTGACTTTCATGCTTATGCTATTCTGTTTAATTTTTGTACTTCTGTTGTGCTCCGGGAACTCGTTCGTTTTTTGTTGTTTTGTAGAATAATATTGGTCTTTGTTGATTTATTTCATTTTATTACCATTTTAGTACTGCTAAAAATGATTACTTTTTTATTTATTTCAGTTTAATATTAATTGTTAAACAGTATATATTGATTGTAATTGGTAACAATTATAGTAAGACTCATAGTAAATGATTTTAATACTAAGACAATGATATATAAAATCGACCCACTTTTTAAAATGATATTTTCATGTAAAGTTAATGCAATAAATATGTAGTTCTTTAAACTAATACTAATTTCTTTGTTGTATGTCCTTATAAACTGTAAAAAATTACAAATAAATCAAAGTACAACTGTAAATTGCACAAAAAAAAATCTCTAAAATCATCTAATAAACAGTATAACAATTTTATTGGACTGCTTAAAACCACAGATAAATACAATAGGTGTTTCACTGCATTTATAGAACTGTTCTATATGCAGCCTGTTTTTGCTTTTCCCCCCTAATGTGTTAAGCGTCAGCCACATTTGTGTCTGGGAGAATGGATGGTTGGTCCCTGACAGGTCTCATAGGCCATGTTATTTATAGGAGAAAGCACATGTGATAACCAGCCAAATAACAGCCCTCGAGTTTAGCTGGATGCTCACGACTTAGCAAAGCAAGCGTAGGCAGGAATTGTTCTTAATTAGGGCAATTGATTTAAGCATATGTATACCAGAGGTACTGTATGGCTTGTGGTTCTGTGAGATTGTTGGTTTAAATGGCAGACACTGAACCCTTCATGTGTAGGTCTGTGGCTACAGAGAATGGTTTGATGGAGGATTGACAGTAATGGGCCCTCACGCTATTAGCTGAACTACAGCCCGTAAATGGCTTCTTGGATTTTATAGTACTTTATAGATTAACTGTAACGATGGTGGGCCACATGATATGTCAGTTCCATAAAAAAGACTGACCTCTGGCCTCTATCTTTGCACGGATTCATTTCTACTATTGTCGCCGTTGTACTAAGAGCCTCACTTCTCTGTGGATGCTATCCGTTTCCTTCTTTGAGGAGCTCGTAGTTGCCTCTAAATGACAGTGCTGGCAGCAGTTATTCAAAGCCATTATGTGTCATTAGGGAGTTGAGGAAATTGTGAGCATCAGCAACTTCCCTATCGGGTTATTACAGTAC